CTGCTAGAAGCAACTTGGGCACGAACTAACTTAGGGTATATCACTCCTAGCTATGCCCTATCTAACCATCATATCCCCGACTGAAAAGCTTTTTGACACCTCGGGTGGTTCCCTCGTTAGTCGTAGGATAGTTTTAAAATTGATTAGACTTAAACTGCGATTTAGGAAGATTAACTAAATGTTTTAGATAGATTTTGGCTAACTCAGTATACATTTTTTGTATTATTGATGAAGTAATATGCACAATACACTAGCAAGAGTCATCAATTTAGACCTCGCTAAAATCGGATGTGAGTTTTACTTGTAGATTTATGTTCACACGGTATTACTTATCGCTCCTATACTTGTTCTACCTCTACAATGTTGTTCACATATATTTTTAATCATAGATTTGTATGATGTAAAATAGAAAAACAGTTAGCATACAATCGCACATAATATCGAAACAAAAAAATTAGATGGATACAGAACTGAGCTCCACGATGAGTACCAATACATCCGAAGAAAACAACGATAGTTCGACACCACCTTCGCGATTTCCTGTCATCAAAAATTGTATCGTTATATGGTTGGATACAAACATTAATCATTCCGATGAATTTACCAAAACCTCAATAACTAAACTTCGATATATCATAAACTCGGTCACAACATTTACTGACACGGACGAATGTATTGAATTTTTAAAGAATATCAGAGATGAGCGCGTATTCATGATTATTTCGTGCTCTCTTGCGGAAAAAATGACATCATTAATCGAAGATATTCCTCAGCTCCAGTCGAGCTATATATTTTGCACTCCTGATTTACAACACCAATGTCAAAAGACGAAAGGCATATTCAATGAAATTGAATCTATATGTCTGGAACTAATACGACAAATTCGTTGGTCCGAAGTTGGTTTAACACCAATCAGTACTGTTCCTGTCATTACTAGTTCTACTAAACTTGATGAACTTGATCAGACATTTATGTATTCTCAATTACTCAAAGAAATTATTCTTGAAATTCAATATAATGAAAAAGCAAAACAAGAATTTGTTGATTTTATCAGTGTCTACTATTCAGATAATAATATTCAGTTGAATAAAATTCTCGAGTTTCAACGAGATTATAAAATCCATTCAGCCATTTGGTGGTATTCAAAAGAACCATTCTTGTATTCAATCCTTAACATGGCTCTTCGAACACAAGACATCGAAGTTATAATAAAATTGGCGTTTTTTATACAAGATCTCCATTGTCAAGTACAACAAGTTCATAAAGAAGCACATTATACAACACAAATGACTCTTTTTCGTGGTCAAGGAATGACTAATATTGATTTTGATAATTTAAAAAACAATCAAGGTGGTCTCATCTCATTCAATAACTTTTTGTCTACTAGTGTCGATTATGAAGTATCGTTAGCATTCGCAGAAAGTTCGCGAGAAAATTCTAATTTAACAGGAATCCTGTTTCAACTGGAAATCGATCCAAAAGTATCATCAATTCCATTTGCTTCCTTGAAAAACATTAGTCATTATTCAGATTTCGAACAAGAATTCCTTTTCTCAATGCACACTGTGTTCAGAATTGGTGAAATAAAACAATTAGAAGATCGACTATGGCAAGTAAATCTCACATTGACTGATGATGACGATCCACAGCTAAAATGTTTGACTGACTATATAAGAAACGAGATCGTAGGTAAATCAGGTTGGCATCGTATGTGTATGCTGATGCATAAGATGGGTAAATTTGACACTGCTGTAAAACTGTACAATAATTTACTTGAAGCAATATCGATATCAGAATTAGATCTAACAGAAATTCTCACGTCAATAGGACCACTCTACAATGGCATTGCAACAGTATATCGATCGATGGGAGATTATTCAAATGCCCTATCCTATCTTGAGAAAACACTAGAAATTCAACAAGCCTATCTTCCATCCCATCATTCTTCCCTAGTATCTACTTATAATAATATTGCTGCAGTGTATCAATCGATGGGAAAATATACTAATGCACTTTCATACTATAAGGAAGCATTTCAAATTCAACAGAAATCTCTTCCAGACGACATTTTAGCTTCGTCTATTACATACAATAATATGGGTGCTGTATATCAATCGATGGGAGATTACCAAACTGCACTCTCTTGTTATGAGAAAATACTTGAAATACGAGAGAAAATTCTTCCACCAAATCATCCAGATCTAGCTGCCATATATAACAACACTGCTTTGGTTCACCAGTCAATGGGAAACTATTCCATTGCACTCTTATACTATGATAAGACCTTAAAAATTCAAGAGAAATCTCTTCCATCTGACCATCCACTGGTGGCCACTACTTATCATAACGTGGGTATGGTACATCAATCCATGGGAAATTTCTCGGACGCATTGTCATGCTATAATAAAACACTGGGAATTAGACAAAAAATTCTTTCTCTCGATCATCCAGATCTAGCTACTCTCTACAATAACATTGGTTTGCTGCACCAAAGTACGGGACATTACTCAGCTGCACTAGTATACTTTCAGAAAACACTCGAAATTCAGAATAAATCTCTTTCAGTCAATCATTCTGACATGGCAACAACCTATAACAATATAGCTACAATGCATCAATTGATGGGAGATTATCCAACTGCACTTTTATACTATCATAATACACTTGAAATTCAAGAGAAGTCTCTTTCACCTGACCATCCTAGTATGGCCATCACCTATGGTAACATTGGTACTATCTATCGATTAATAGGAGATTATTCGACATCACTCTTGTTTTGTCAGAAGACGCTTGAAATTCAACTGAAATCTCTTCCATCCAATCATCTAGACCTGACCGCTACGTATAATGAGATTGCATTACTATATCAATATCAAAGAGATTATTCTGGTGCGCTCTCATATCACGAGAAAGCAATTGAAATCAGACAGAAATTCCTTCCAGATGATCATCCAGATCTGGCTTTAACCTATAACAACATTGGTGTAGTGTACCAATCTATGGGGAATTATTCAGCAGCACTCTTGTATTATGAGAAGGCATTAATGATTCAAGAGAAATCTCTTCCATCCGAGCATCCATCGGTAGCTACCACCTACAGCAATTTGGGTATAGTTCATAAATCGATGGCAGACTACAAGACTGCATTATCATACTTTGAGAAGTCACTTACAATTCAAGAAAAATCTCTTTCATCTAGTCATCCGGACCTGGCTACGACTTACAACAACATGGGCATGGTTTACAATGCGATATGTGATTACCCAGCTGCACTCATATGTCTTGAAAAGGCCCTTAAAATTCGAGAAAATTCTCTTCCACTTAACCATCTAATGCTGGCTACCATCTACAACAACATGGGTATGATTCATAAAGCTATGACAAATGACATCGTTGCGCTCTCTTACTTTGATAAGGCACTGAAAATTAGAGAGAAATATCTTTCACCCAACCACCCAGAATTAGGAGAGACGTACAACAACATCAGCATGGTGCATAAGTCAATGGGAAACTACTCCGATGCACTCTCGTACTGTGAAAAGTCACTAGAAATTGAAGAGCAATCCATTGCACCTAATCATCCAAGTCTAGGTATCACATACAACAATATTGGTACGATACATAAATCAATGAAAAATTATTCTACTGCACTTTCATATTTTGAAAAGGCACTGCAAATTATGAAACAATCTCTGCCAGCAAATCATCCAAACTTGTCTTATACGTATCAGAACATTGGTGGAGTATACAATGCAACAGAAGATTACTCAAATGCACTGAGATATTATGAGAAGGCATTTGAAGTTCAAATGAAATGTACTTCGCCTAATTTTTCATTTCTTGCTGAGATCTGTCATGGTATTGCTGCAATGCACAAATCAATGGGAAACTATCCAATTGCACTTTCATATTGCGAGATGTCTCTTGAATTTAAAGAGAAATGTTTTCCAATCAATCATTCATCAGTAGCTACTAACTACCTCAACATTGGTATGTTACATAAATTAATGGGAAAACATCTGTCTGCACTCTCATATCATGAGAAAGCAATTATAATTATGGAGAAATCACTCCCAACCGATCATCCTGACTTGGCTACTGCCTACGAAAACATTGGTGATGTGTACGATGATATTGGAGATTCTTCAGCTGCACTGTTATACTATGAGAAATCATTAGCAATCAAACAAAAATTTGTTCAATTCAACCATGAATCGTTAGTCATGCTCTATAAAAAGATTAGTATGACGCATCTATTCTTGAGAAACTATGCAACTTGCCTTTCTTATTATGAGAAGGCGTTGGCGATCTGGCAATCAATTCTTCGACCTGATCATCCATGGCTGATTATTACCTACTGCAACATGACATTGGTGTTTAATAAACTTTGTCAAGAAAAGAAAACCATTGAAGATGCTGCAGTAGCATTAAACATTGCATGTCGTGCTTTTGGACTCGATCATCCCAAAACAAAAGAACTCCAATGTTATTTTGACCACTTAGAACGAAATTTGGTGGAAAAATAATAGCAAAGTGCCAATGTTGATGGATTAAATCATATGGATATTGATAAAATGTATACCGATATCGATATAGTATCAAGTCGTTGGCATTTTGCACTCGCGAAAAAGTCTTGTTCGAAATATCTGTTTTCCTCGTACTCGCACGATCATATTTTCCAGCATTGTATGCAATGTCATCAATATTTTATCACATAGTGTTATCTTTAGTGTTTACGTTTTAAGTATATTTTAACTAATAAAAATAATCAAATAACAACTATTTGCTCTGTGTCATAAAATACTGATAAAAAATACAAATCTACTTTGTCTTCGTCTTCGAAAGATCTGAGTTTCTGGACTTAAGCCTGGAGATAGTGTACAGAGAATGTGTACTAGGGTAGAGTGTGAGTGTGTGTGGCTATCCTGAGGGTGTGAATGTGGGTGTGAGTGTGAGTGTTAATTGCCACCGGAAACGATCACACTCTCGGTAACAACCACATAAACACCAGGGCACAGACCCAAACCCACACCCATAATAAGAGTGGCTTATGCGAAGTTATCGGACCTTATCTTGCTCTTCGATACGATAAGGTACATCTAAATCTACTGATAATACAGTGATGATTGTCTTGTCTATTTTATACAGACGCTAACCGAAGTGAAACTCCATGTAACAGATATTGGTAATAAAGACATGCAATTTTTGGCCGACGGTTTACAAAATAATACGGTACTTTTGATATTTGCACTGTTTACAATACAAAATAGTATGCCTTTTGTATACAGACACTTATTACACTAACTCTTAGCATGGATAAATTGAGAGTGATGGGAGCGCAACATCTGGCTGATGTATTAGAAAGTAACAAGATGTCTGTTTTAGTCTAACTGATTCAATAGAATTATTTCCTACTAATTCAAACAGACACTAGTAACAGTCAATCTTTCATCGAATGAAATCGGCAATAAAGGAACTCAATACTTGGCGAAGGGATTACGAAATAACGTGGTGATTCTCATTGAAACTTGAGCTTCATCATAGCTATTCTCTATTTTTTGTGCAGATGTTGAACACTTTAGATCTCAGTGGCAATGCTATCGGAGACTCTGGGGCACAATATCTTACTGACGCCTTATGTGAAATACGGTGAATATGGTTGCCGTAATAAATCTTCTCTAATTTTGCGTTCTCGCTGAACACACACTTGTAAAACGTGTTCTCCAAGATAAGATAATTGGATATACAGGCATTGAAAATATTGTCAGAGAAATGGATAATAAGAAAGTACTAGAAGTTTCGTGAATATCTTTTCGAAATCTATTATTTATGCTGCATTTAGACACTCACAGTATTAGATATCGCATGGAATAAAATTAAAGCGTCCAATGGAATGGGTTTGGCTACTGTATTTCAAAATAAACATGTGATTCTAAAGCTCGAATATCTATTTTATATTTGCTATTTTTTTTTTGTTATAGACTCTCACAAAAATGCATATTGCGGGCAATGACAGTTACCGATGTGCAATAGTAGGAGTTGCCATTGAAGCACGAAAAGACAAGGTAACTTTCATTTTTTCTTATTTCTATCATATCAATTCTTAGTTCTATTGATACAGGAACTTAAAGCCATTAATCTGCGATGCCGTCAAATCGGTGATGAAGAAATGTGGGTTTTATGTTATTGGCTGTGTTTTAACAAGGTAATAGTGATGCATTTTTCATTGTTTCATGCGTCAATTTATGTTTATATAGTCGCTTACCGCACTCGATCTTCAATCAAATCAAATTGGTGCAACAGAATTGAAATATCTTAGTGAAGCATTATGCTCTAACGAGGTAATTTGGATTATTTTTTTTTCGAGATCTTAATAGTTCAATTCATTGGTTAGAAATGGAGACTAATAGGACAGGTGAAATTCTAAAGAAATGAATTTTTTATAGTCCAACTCTTTTCTTTTTTGTCGATCTGATATCTGCATCCCATTTTTTAAACAAACACTTACTACAATATTGATGACAAACAATAAAATAGGTGATCAAGGAGCAAAATAAGTAGCCCAAATACTATGCGATTGCAATGTGAATTTCATTTTCGATTGATCACTTCATTATGAAAATTCATTCCATTATTTCCATGCAGTGCATAATGCCGTCAGCTATTCAAGAGAAGTTTTGCATTAATTGATACTTACAATGCTCCAATCTCGATTCTTTCTCCAGTTTAACATAGTTCTATCAAAATAAAAGCCAAAACTAAAGATTCCCCTCTGACGTGTGGGCATCGCAGAGAAACACAGAAATCATTATGCCCAGAAAAGCTCCCTGGCACCTATTTATATCAAGGACACAATTACAAAACCAATACCAGAAGCTCCCTTCTCGAAACAAGAGACCGGATCAATTAAAACCGTAAAAACTGCTCACGACGAACGCTTCCTCACAAAACACGTGATCAGTATTAATTCGACTTCAAAAAGCTTTCATCGGAGAAACTCCTGTCTCTAAAGCAATCATGCAGATAGGAACGCATTTTATTTCATATGACCCTCGCTTCAGTAAAGTGGATTATTTTAACCGATATTCTGTACTATCTAATCTGCAAGATTTGTAAATGAATAAATAAAATCGATTCTCATCGAATTTGAACATTCTTGCATCCATAACTACGTAACTAGGAAAAATCATAATCTGTAGCACGGTGATTTAAAGAAAAAATACACTTTGGTATACATATTAATTTAATTGGATTAATTTTCTTCTAAAAATTCTCTTGTTCTTTCTATTTATTTATATGAAGTTCGTCTTATCTTTAACTTAATCTTGTTTGGCATTCTCAGACAAGATTGAGATGAACCTAAACGAACCTCATATAAATAAGTAGAAAAAAAAACAAGAGGATTAACTCAATTAATGACGCAATTAGCAGTTTTAACGATTATTTGTTTTTTATTTGGATTTCTATGCACAAGTGCATTAAAACGCTTCAAATCATTCCTTATGTAAGAAGAAACTCGTTTTAACCATTTAAACTTTTTAATTCATCATATGAATGAGGTATAATATGGTTTTTTCTCCATCTTTTTTATCTGAACACGTTGAAACACT